GCATATGTAGGAAGCGTCTGAATTACTGTTTTGAGCAAAACCTCTCTACCTGCTTTGGATAATAGTCTGTTGTTCCAGCTATGCATCTTCTTAAGTATGCATTCCTTTAGGAAGCCGAGGATCTCCCTTTTTCCGACCAACCAACGCTCGAATCCCAAGATAATGATTGGTTCCTTCTTCTCTTTGAACACCCAAAATGCCAATCAAAGATAACATAGTATCCTCCCTCACATTAGGACTGAAATAGACATTCAATATGATAAAGTTAATTGATTGCCCGGACATTGCCTCATAATCTGCCAGTACCTTCTTAATCCCCCGACACTCAGCCTCATTAGCTTTAAAGAAAATAAAGCTATCGTTAGCGAAAAATAAGTGTGAAACCTTCGGTACACCTCTAGCAACTGCCACTCCGTTTAAGCAGCCCAAACGTTCTTGCTTTCGGAGTAAGGAGCTAAAACCTTCAGCCACTAAAATAAATAAATATGGCGATAGGGGATCGCCCTGCCCTGTCTTAACCCCCTACCTGGGACAATCGGGCCAAGCAAATCGGAATCAAATTGAACACGGTATGTCACTGAAGAAACACATTCCATAATCAATTGAATCCACCTGTTGTTGAAGCCCAACTTATCCATCACTGCCCGGAGAAAACTCCAATCCACTCTATCGTATGCTTTGCTCATATCCAATTTTAGTGTTGCATAACCATCTTTGCCTTTGGTTTTGCGTTTTAGAAAATGATGGGTTTCGAAAGCATTAAAGCAATAAGGATGTTGTCCACTATAGATCTGCCAGATAGAAATGCACTTTGGCTTTCTGACACTATAGACCCCCATGATCCTCTTTAATCTATTAGCCAACACTTTTGAAAATATCTTGTAACTAACATTGCATAAAGCAATAGGTCTCGAGTCACCCATCCCAGTGGGTTTACCCTTTTTTGGAATCAATACCAGGTTGGTATTACTTAACTCCTGAGTTATCCACCCCTCATCAAATGGTGGAAGCTTTCATCATTACCAAAAGGGGAACTATCAGTTTAACTGGAAAACACAACAAGAGACAAAGTAAAGGAAGAAGCAGTTGTCCTTAAAAAGATAGGGGCAAATGAATAGCACCAGAAAAGCAGAAACCAAATAGGGGTTATGGGCAATGGAAAACATCCAATACCAACACTTCCAAAACCCACTGGGCCACTGTTAGTCACCTTGGCAAATCAGCATCACAAAGAATTCAACAACACTTGATATTAAAAGTTATTGGTAAAATAAAACTGCAAGGTTATAATAAACATGTAAGCTGTAAACTATTAAGTTCACAGGTGTAGGATCCACAGAAGATCAGAAGACATGTGCAGAAGCATTATAAGTCCCATCTATTAACTCTGAAAAAGATAAAAAAAAGTTACATTTACACAAACAATTATAAACATTAATTTAAGAAATATAAATGAAATTAACCTAACCTGTTTCCGGCCTCTCAACTTCATCAATACTTTCCTCAATTGATAGAGGCTGGTTGTGCATTCTCAGCCAATCTTGAGTACAAATTAAGGCTTCCACTATTTTAGGAGTTTAAGAGCTTCTACAGCAACCTAAGACCCTACCACTAGTACTGAAAGTGGATTCAGAAGCAACTGTGGAGATGGGAACAACCAGAATATCTCTAGCCATTTTAGAAAGTATAGGAAATCTCTGGTTGTTTAATTTCCACCATCTTAAGATATCAAACTCTTTATCTTCCTCAACTATAGCCTCACTCAAATAAATTTCCAACTCATTTTGTTTCAAGCCCAACTGCCCACTCTCTTGTTTCTGTTTTTTCAATTGTGCTTTGAATTTGGAGACTGGTCTGGTAGACTAAGCCTCACCGATCAGTAAAGTAGGAGTTGAGCTTGATTCTGAGCTTCCACCAACACTTTCTGTGTAACTAGTGACATAATCAACAAACAACTCAGCTAGAGCAAGTTTGATACTTGCAAAGAATTTCACACCCTTTTTTTCAGTATACAAAGCATTGAATTGAAAGGGCATGTATTCAAATTTGTCCCTAGGGTCTAGAACATTTGCAAAGAATATCAGATAGTTCATCTTTTCAGGATTACCCCAGTACTTATCCAATTTGGATTTCATAGTACATCTTATGCTGCTTGTAGAAGGCTTGTCTGACTTGATCAAGTCTTGAAGGACTAGAAACAGACCAGGCACTTTTGAGAAGAAGGTATTAAAAGTAACATAGAGAGACCCTGATATCCTAAGTAACACTATTTTGGCCTTCCATCTATATAAGTTATTAAGTACACATAGGTAGATTAAGCTTCCACAGTTCCACATTTAAGTCAACACATTTAAGTTCAGAAAGATGAAGTTTGGAACAATCAGCAAACTGATTTACAGAAGAAGTTAAGCAGTATGCTTAATTCTTCCCTACAGACTTAGAAGAACTAGTTGACTCTTACTACTCCATTGAGTGTTAGAGTAAAAAATGTAGCTTTTGTAACCAAATATACAGATGATCATTAATAATCACACAACAGGTAATCAAAGCTTTAGCATACAAAAGTTCATTTACCTTCCACCTTTTAGCTTCCACCCTTTAGCTTCAGCATACAAAAGCTCAAACACTTGGCATACAATGTAGGCCATATATGAAATATGCATTGCCATCTTTCAGAATTCAGACCTAGGCTAAGCCTGAGGCTACATCATCATTCTCAAAAGCATATTCAAAGATAAGGCATACAACTTAGGCACATTTCAAATAATCAGAGTCACAGCTTCCACTATCATAATTCACAATTCACAAAGAACAAACAATCATTCCTTCATCATCATTCATTCATTTTGAAATCATTTTCAGTCAATTCAAGCATAGAATCTAAAACAACTCTTACTACTCAGCTTGAGTGTTTGAGTCAATCAGGTAACTTCTAAAACAACAATAACAAACACATAATGATGTAATAGCTAGGCAACATCTATACACACAAGTACACAACCTTACATAGCTTCCACTCTTTTATGTAATAGGCAACATCTAAAATAACAATAACCGCAGTTCTTTGGGGCCACGATCAGACTTTTATGTACACAGTTCATACATAAACACAGTTTCGGACAGACTCACAGAGTCACAGACATGCATACAATTCATGAAACACAAACACTGATATATAAACATCATTTTTACTTCCACAGTTTGACATTCAAGGCTGCTTTGAGTCACACAATAAACAACAACACACAAGTCACAACTACAATTCACACATTATTCATCAAGTAGAGAATAGAAGTTATACCTGCTGCTTGAGTGTGACTTAGATGAGAGGATGTAAGGCTGAGAGTGAGCTTAAAGGGGCAAAGCTTCCACAGTTCAACGTTCGACCCTGACTTTAAGGTTTCAACTTCAAATTCAGAAGCGTGTGATGGTGTGAGAGGGAGTGACGGACAGAGCGAAGAGAGTATACTGAACCACTGAGGCGTGAGGAACAGGCTGAGGCCCTCACAGGAGTCACATAGTCACCGTCTCACAAACACAGTCCGAAGAGATGAAGTGGTCAAGAGAAGCGGAGAGATAGAGAAGATAGTAGAGAAGGAGGCGGAAGTGGGTTAGGTTTTTTTAGGAGACTATATATATATTAATATATATGGGTTGGGAATTGGGCTGAGGGTTCGGGTTTTCAGGCGGGTCGGGTGGGTTAAATCCAAATCCTAACCGGCCCATTAATATTTAGGAATATTGGCATGTGGGTCTTTGGGTACCTGTTCGGGTCGGTTGATCCTACCCGGTCGGGTAAAATCCGAAAAACCCGGTCGGATATTTGGGTTGGGTCAAGTTTTGCTCAACCCTACTCAGGATCAATCTAAATTTACTAAATTACAATAAACTATAAAAATAAAAGGTTGCATTGTAAATGGGCAATTACTATAGCAACACGCCGTAAAAACTATTTAAAAGTAAAAACATAAACATAGAAAAACTAACACAATCAATTTCATTACCAATGTCATTAAGAATATTTTTACTTGAATTATTTTCAGTCCTAGACCATATCAGAATAGACAAGATTTAGATAGTTATAAAACAATTGAGGCCAAACATTTATAAGATCAGTCTAGAAAATCTCAAACCTATTACTAATATCATAAGTAATGAAATTGTATATTAAAGTGACACATGTACATTTACCACACAAATACAATGACAAAGGAGTATAAATTTCTAAAACTATTGTCTAAGAATAATTAACTTTGGTAATCTTTCTAAGAATTTTGTCCAAGAATAATTTATTTTTGTATTTTTTGTAACCAATTAACTTTTGTATATATATTTTTGGACCAATTAACATATGTATACAAGAGATTTTTTTAAGTTATGCTATAGGTACTTGCACTTTTACAAAAAATACCGGAAAAGAGTTGTGTGCTAACATCACATTATTTAACACAGCACATCATCTTTACATCAAAGGTAATTACAATCAGGGGCGGAGGGAGGGGTGGCCTGGCTGGGCCCTGGCCTAGGGCAATTTTTCCATTTTTTTTGTATTATATATATTTTTTAATTATTGTTTTGGAATTGGCCCAGTGCAAAAATAAGAATGGCCCAGTATAGAAAAACAGTTCGGCCCTAATATAAAGCAAAGAAGCGCAGCAGCCAGTCCACTACGGCAGAGCACGGGTCGGGTTCGGGCGGGTCGGGTGCAAAATGGTGAACCCGTTCGGGTATCGGATTGATAATTTTAAACCCTACCCTATCAAAAAAATCGGGTTTTTCGGGTTGAAGAAGTTCGGGTTGCGGTCGGGTTGATTCGGTTTTCGGGTCCATTCAGATTTTAATTTATTATTGTTGAAATTGTGATAAATAAAATGGTAATTGGTAAAAATATCATTCAAAATTATATTAGTATAACATTCAAAGTAATAGTTGTATAAATACGGTAATCGACATATTTGAGTATGTAAAATAATAATATATGGTGATTGACATATTTTATATTATGATAAATAAAATGATAATTGGTCAAAATATCATTCAAAGTCATAACAATACAACATTCAAAGTTATAGTTGTACAAATATGGTAATTAAAATATTTGAACATGCATAATATGGTAATTGACATACAATAATTGAGATATTTGAACATGAATAATAATTCAAAGTAGTATAGTATAATACTATGCTAGTTCGGTTTTTCGGACGGGTCGGTAGCATAATTGGTAACCCTACCCGCTACCCGCTTAAGTCTCAGGTTGCAAGAATCGGATCGGGTTTGGGTATTTCGGGTCGGGTTTTCAGACCCCAACAAAAAAATTGGATATATCCGATCGGGTCAATCGGGTAGGGTCAGGTTTGCTCTCCCTACAGTCCACAGAGACGAAATTGGACGCATCAGTGCATCACGATTCACGCACTTGTCACACGCCTCAGTCATCATCGCACTCGCCGCTCCACGCTCGCCCGCTTCGCCGCTCTCATCGCTGGAAGCCGGACACGCACGAACGCACCATCTGTTGCTCGCCGTCTGCTCCTGCTCGTCTCTAAATTGTTGTCTTCTTCTCTCAAGCCTTGAGGACTCCATTCTCGACTCTCGACACAGCCAACTTGGTGTGTCGCGGTCTGCTTCTGCTTGTCTGCTAAGCCAAGGTAAGAGTTTCTGTTTTTTGGTTTTACGATATTTAGTTTAGTTTAAGTATTTTATTTGTTAATTTAGTCTATGTTAGTCACTTAGTGTGTCACAATTGATTTTTGTGCTTTGCATTGTGAAATAGAAAATTAGGAATGTCAACTGTGATTTTTGAATTTTCTTAAAATATTAATATGAATTATATGAATTAAAATAAAATATTAATAAGGTTTTTATATTTTTGCTAATTTTAGTATGTATGTCTACTCAATCTACTTCCAAAAAGGAAAAAATCACATTGCGTTCTTTTTATAAGCCTACTACAAGCACACAAAATAGAGAAGGGCTAAGGGTCTGTTTACTAAGAGAGATATTTTCCTGTTTTCCAGAAAACTAGAAAACTAGAAAACGAAAAACAGGAAACGTGTTTACCAAAGAAAATTGTTGGAAAACTGGAGAAAGGAAAACAGAAAAATGCGTTTACCAAACCGTTTTACAAAACGAAAAAAATGAGACATGTCTCTCTTTTCCATAATGATTTGGAGAAGTGACTTTTACTAGTTTTCCAAATTTGAAAAACGCAGATGGTACAGGCCGTTGCAATGAATTTGCATACTTACACATAGTGGTGGGTCCGGTCCCGCTCCGATGTCGATTCCATTCTAGTACCTCCATCCTCGTACCTTACCCCTTACCCCAACCCACCCAACCCCAACCCCGCATACCCCTTTTCCCTACGATGACCCTACCCCACCCCCTACCACATGTCCCTACCTCGGTCCCACCCCAAGCCACCCTACCCTATCACCACCCCCTACCACCTCAACCCCATCTCGACCCACCCTAACCCTACCCCCACCTCGTATATTACCCTTTACTCGGACCTTACCCCTACGCACATGCCCCCTACCTCGGCCCCACCCTACCGCCATCCTACCCCCACCCTCGTACCGCCATCCTACCCCCACCCTCGTATTGCCATCCTACCTCCACTCTACCCCTTACCTTGGCCCCACCATGATCCCGGCCCCACCCTACCGCCATCCTATCCCAACTTCCTACCCTACCCCTACCTTACCCCAATCCCAACCCTACTCACTACCCCCACCCTTACCCCTAATCACCACCCTAACACTACCCCACCCAACCATGTACCCTAGACCTTACTACCCCACCCACCCCCCACCCACCCTTACCCCTAACCACCACCCTAACCCACCCAACCTCGTACCCCTAGACCTACCATCCCATCCCCGACCATACCCCTTACCCCACCCCACCTCACCCCCACCCCACCCACCCATACCTTCCTTCCCTACCCTGACCCCTACAAGTAGGTATGGGTGGGTATGAAGGGTTTTAGGGGAGTATGTGTAGAGTGTAAGATCGTGATAAGGGTAGGGGTAGGGGTCAAGTGTAAGATCGTACATCTGACCCCCCTTACCTCACCATAGGTGAGAGCTTTGCGGCACTGAGGTGATGATGATGACGAGTGAAAGACTAAACAAAATTTGTCAAATTAAAAATTCAATAGATAAATTAACACATTTGTACAAAATAATAAATCCAAATTAAACTCAACCCAACGAAATCGAATTAAACATACTAGTAGCACGGAGTACTATTTTTATTTGGTGATCAAACTGAATGGAGGGCGGATAAAAACTGTGCCAAAACCTAAATGGTCACCTTTGTTGACTATGCAATAACAGCTAATTTCGTTTTGTTTTGTATTTGATTTTCCTAGTTTTAGTAAAGACTTTAAACATCTTTATTAACTTCGCATTTTCTTTTTTGGGTCGTCTCATATTAAACTTTACACTTCATAATTTGCCTTATTTGGCAAACAAATCTACATCAAACAGTGCAAAACAGTGTCAAACAGTATACTCTACTACAAAGTCAAATTTATTTCCGGAATGAAATAAAATTTCATTGAAGGGGAAGGACGGGGAGAGTATTCTTTCCTACATTTGAGATTTGCTGGTGTGATCCTAAAGTATGCTTTCTAGCAGTGTTTGAAGACACCTCGGTGTAACCCTATTGTTATCGGAGGGAGAGATAGCGATCAGCCGATCAGTGAAGCCAGGAGCTACTCGCAAATAATTTATAGGTTTGGAGAAATCAAATCAGTGCTAAAGTTCCAATTGCCTTGTAGTGCAGTTTTAAATATTCCGGAGATGGCGTCATCTGGTCGGTCTGCGGCTGCTGGAGACATGCAGGTGGTTCCTGTGGCGGAGCGGAGTGTAGCTTCTCTTCCTCCTCGACCTCCAACGTCTTCCTCCAGTGCTTTAGTAGAATACACACCACCAGCGCCTAACCCTGAAGAGGAGGACCTTGAGGTTAAGCTCCGGCGTATTCTTGATTGTGTCCCGGTTCGTGTTAGCAATACTTCTGGTAGCTCTGCGGGTTCTGGTTCTGGCGACTTTCATCAGGTAATTAACAGACAACTCTCAACCTTTGATTCTAGAGTACTAGTAGGATGACATTGTTCTAGGTTCAGACATGTGAACTGCTATGAGATGTATATCTGACCTTTTTTTAATGTCTCAGTTCTCATAACGGCTTGCCATTTCTTTCTTACTTTACCAACCTTGTTTAATTTCTTATGCCCTGAATGATTTGCTTCTTGGACCCTTTGATTAATAAGAAATTGGTCTTTTCAGTGTAGTTTGTCTTCAATTTTCCTGTTTAAGCTGCTTAAGCTTATGTAATCTTGATACTTTTCTTCTAGCAAATTTAGATGTCTAGTGTTATAGGTAAATGAAATCTTAACACAGACCCTTAAACTTTAAGAAGAGGGGTTTCAAGAATGAGATCTTTGGTGGTAAATGATCCTTAGATTATGCCTGGGATATGATTTTTGGGGCTCAAGGGAGGGGAAGGCTCATTTTACATTTAACAAAATTAGTGTTCTATCGTAATAGTTTATCAAGACAAAAGATAAAATGATAATTTCACTTAGACTCAACGTCCTACTCATTTATTTGTTAATTATTACCATAAATGGTACATTTCCTCTATCTTATAAAAAGGGTGTTGTTTGAACACTCTCCTCCATCTCATAAAGGAGCTCTGTTTCATCAAATGGAGCTAATTTTCAAGCAAGTTGACAAATAAGATTGACATAAAAGTTACATATTATCAGTTTAGTTAAACCAATACATAGTCTAAAAAGTAAGTACTTTGGTCAGACATGAGTTTTTTTGTGTGATGCAGGCAATGTAGCTCTCTTATATTAGAAATAAAAACTAGCTCCCTTCCCCCACCACAGCAATTACACTTTAACAGAGTAGACTCTTAGGTAAAGAACTACCTTATTGCTTGCTTTAGTGATGCTTGACGGGGTGCAAATGTGCAATGTTTCCAGTAATGTTGAGTGGTGATTAGGAGAGTGTTAGTGCACTGTGAGGTGCTTCTGAAAATTCAACATTTGACTATGCCATTGTTGCTTGCTTTAGTGATGCTTCATGGGGTGCAAATGTGCAATGTTTCCGATAATGTTGAGTGGTGATTAGGAGAGTGTTAGTGCACTGTGAGGTGCTTCTGAAAATTCAACATTTGATTATGCCATGTTGGAAGTATAGAACTCGGGATTTCAGCGAAAAGCAAAATATTGTGTAATTCGTTCTATCTTATACTCCTTATATGATTTTTGTTAGCAGAAGATCACCAGACTTGTCTAATGTTATTGTTTCAAGCAAAGTTGTACCACATCTAGGATGCGCCCAACCAATCCAACCATTAGCTGTTGAAAATGTGCATGGTGTAAAGTGGTTGTATTTTGTTTGTGTATGTAACATAGTATTCCCTCCTCGTATGTTTGGGACAAGAGGATTGGCACTCTAGTTAAGCAAAGGCATAATTGTATGATTGATATTGAACTCTTAAAGTATGATATATTTTGAGCCTTATAAATGTGACCAATTATGGTATTGGACAAATGTTTTGGGATGGGCTAAAATGAAAATGGGATGTAGCGGGGCAGAAATAGTATTATCCCCCCTCCTTTGCTTGTTTGTCTATTGTTTTGTTTATGTGCTTGTGTTGCTATGGTGTTAGTTTTCCTTTTCATTGTTTTTACGTTTTGCATATTGTGGTTGTGTTTGTGCTGGGCAGGTTTTGGGTGCTCCAATTCTCTATGACTCTGTTATTGGTATGCATGTGTTGTATCAACCTGTTAAGAGACTGGAGTGAACAAATTTTCATCCATAAAATTGGGATTTTAAGCTCTATGTTGGGCATTCATATTCTTTAGTGCATTTATTTGTATGTGTGTGGTAGGGGGAGTGGGGGAAGAGGTGTTAAAATCTTAGTATGTAACGTGTCTTTTAATCAATAAGAGATAGTATGAATTAAAATAATCCACATTATTTTTTCTGTCTCATAATCCACTACTTGATTAGTTGATTTAACTTGAGGTTTCATTAATTTGAGTTCTGATCATCTGATGGGTATTCTCTGGTTGTAGTATCGACAAATGAGACGAAAAGAACAAGACCGGCTTGCAAGGATGGATGCGGATTACCAGAAAAGGAAGGAAGTGTCTGAATTCAACAAAAGAAAAGACGAACGGTTGAAGGCTGCTGAAGAGCGCACTGCAAAGAAACGTCTCAAACGACAGAAGAAGAAACAAAGGAAGAAAGAGAAAAAGAGCCAACCAGCTGCAGGTGTAGAAGCAAGAGAAAGAGAAGAATCCTCAGATGATGCAGACTCAGATAATGGTGAAGCTGAGGAATGAATTATATATAGCCTGATAGGTACAAGTTATTTCTCTTATTGTAGAGGGAGAAGGATTGGGAGTTCCAAAGAGTTCTTCATTCAGCGTAGAGAAAGATGAAGGATTTTGATTTGCAATGGCCTTAGATCAACCCCAAGGCTGCCTTTGTAGTCTATGTTTAGTGTGCCAAAACATTAAAATTAGACAGTCATTGAATTTATCCCGCCAATACTTGTAGACTTTTGTTGACAAAAAAACTACACACTCTGAAGCCCCTACGTTTGAGCGTAGAAAGCCATCCAAAATTCCTAACTTGCGGACTCTCACAAAAATGGGAGAAACGGTTAAAATAAAAGCTATTAAGAGCATCTTCAATCCTACACATGAGACATGAGAGAGATAGACACATAAAAATAAATCATTGACATTTCTCTCTCATTTTCACGGTTTTATATAAATTTGGTAATAATGTCAACAACAATATCTACATCTAACATTCTTCTTGACATTGTGGAGAAAAATTTACTCAAAACATATGAACGTTCAAATAAGAAGAGGGGTATTTTGCTTACTAATATTTATGTGTCTATCTTTGTCATGTCACATGTACATCGTGCACATTGTGACATTAGAGACGCTCTAAGAGCATCTTTAATGGTAATGTGGATTGGTAAAAAATGTATTGCCACGTATACAAAATAGACAATGTGATAAAAATACCTTTTACATCGGGAGTGTCTAATTTTGTGGTAATGCTGAGTTGGAAATGTAAAAAATAGACACCTTGTGATACACCCTCCGTTTTCAGAAGGCCTGTTAAACAAAATCAGACATATTAGACAAGCAAGAAAAAACAGAAAACATTACTCGATCATAGGCCTGTGCAACTGTAAGCCACTAAGCAAATTATGATCGACGATGTATTCTCGTCACTTATCATATGTTGTACTTGTCACTTGACAACATTAAAAATCAAACAACAGTCGCCTTGGTTAAACACAACCTGGTAAAAATATAATCCAAACGGATTAAAGGAAAAGTTAGCCAAAAGTAAAATCAGAATACTTTAACGAAAAGACTTGCACAAGAGACCCAGGTGGCGGTTCAGGAGGAGGGCGAACCGTCGATCTGTCTTCTCCCTTGATCAGCCCTTCACCGATCCTCGTATGCTCATAGCCCGTGCTGCCTCCATATTTGTCCATTATTTTCAGCAATATCAATCTTCTCATGTATGCTTTGGCTCGCACTCTGACGCACACCAAATCCCCAACGAACATGCCTCACACGCTTTATCCAAAACTGCCCCTTAAAGAGGCGCCGAAAGAACTGCCCAAAATTGGTGTGCGGCTGAAATATGAAACCCTACGCTTAGAACGAGGGAGCTGCGTCTTTACCTAAGCTAAGCTGAGATCCGATGTGTGATTTTCTTCGTTGAGAAAGCGCCAATGCGCTGCTAGGGCACCGATACGCTTATCGCATCCAGGCTTAATATACTTACATACGTATTTAACTAATTTACGTAATTTTAATCCTATATTTTAAAATTAATAACATATGTATTGCCAATATTATATTTAATAATATACTTACATATGTATTTATTAACAAATTTACATATTTAACTAATTTACAAAAAATACGTAATTCAAATTACATACCTTATCTGCATAAACAGGAAAAATGATATGAGATGGGTAGATTACATCCTTCAATTCTATCTGGAATTCTATCTGGAGTACGTAGAAGGTGTGATTTTGTTGAAGGAAGCCGAGGCTGCATATATAAATTTTGTAGTCACGGACGTAGTCACGGATGTGTCCGTGACTGAATTTTTTTGTACGAATTGTCGGTGCACTTTAAATTTGGAACGTTGAAAAAATCAATTTTGGACTTGTCACGGAATTAGTCACGGACGTGACCGTGACTAACTTCAAATTTAAAAAAAATCCCGCCGGAGGCGAAAATGGGTTGGCCGGAACACTTTAGTCACGGACTAGGTCCGTCACTACCTCTAGTCACGGACGTAGTCACGGACAAATCCGTGACTACTTTTTTTTAAACGATTCCGTGACTACACCGTGATTAGAACCGTGACTAACTAGTCACGGACCAAATCCGTGACTACGGTCCGTGACTACAGGCGAATTTTTTTGTAGTGTCAGCTCATATGTTACATGGTTAGGTAGTTAGAAATTGTACATATAAACTATAAAACTATAAAACAGAAACAATAGTTGAAAATTCCTTTTTGAAGATTTGCAAACCCTTCATTGAGATCCAACCATTTGTGGAACTCGTTTCTTATCACCTTTTGTTTTAAAATAATACTATCCTCCGTTCCATAAAAGTTGCAACAGTTTGACTTTCACGTTTGCCAACGCGCAACTTTGACTGTAATTATATTTATTTACGTATTAGTAAACATTAAAAAAAGTTAATATATTGGAAATTTACACTAATACAAATTTATTAATATTTTATACATAATATTTTTATTATATATATTATTAGAAAATCGTAGTTAAAGTAAGGTGTGTGAATAGTGCAGAAATTCCAATGTTGCAACTTTTATGGAACGGAGGAAGTACTACGTAGTTGAAAAGTCCTTTTTGAAGATTTGTGAGCACTCCCTTAAGATCCAACCATTTGTGGAACTCGTTTCTAGTACTAATATTGAGTGAATCTGCAGAAAATGGCGAAATTATGGATTAAACCTGATGATGGTCCCGGGACTGGACTTCCTGGGAGGCCGTGTCTTGGGCCACGACCTCCTCGGAGTTCCCCATCCGGAGGACCGGGTTACCGAGGGGTCGTGGATGAGGGGGAGGCATAATATTCTCCCCCACCTGAGGTTGGAGGGGAACCAAAGTGCCGAAGGCACCCGGGTTCTGGGTGAGCGTCTGGATGAAGGCGGAGAGCGCTGATTGAACGTCGATGGTGATGACCGGAGGGCTAATTTGATTTTCGCTCCGGTCCTTTTTCTTGGCCTCGATGCCGAGGCGAGCATCGGGGGCATTTTGTTGAATCTGCTGGCGTAGGTCGACAGCCGTCTGGTCCAACCCGGCGATGATGTCGCCCCCGAGAGCCCTGTTAGAGGCCTCGGGGACGTCGACCTCACCGAGGGCCAGGTTCCTGTCCTCTACATTCTTGGAGTTGGCACGAGTTGTTCTCACCATTTTAGATGGGTGTTTTTGTGTTTGGTCGAGGGGGAGGGTTTCTTACTTGATTGTTCGACCTCTCAACTAGAGCACCAAATGATGGATAGTGTACCCGGGGGGTAGCTTATCTGAGGGGTTATTACGGGGAATAACAAGAGAGAAGTCAGAGCAAGTAAGTATAGAGAGAGAAAGTATATTGGAGAGTGTTTAGCGTTTTTCAGCGTGGTTACAAATGGGGAAATGGGGTGCTATTTATAGTAGCAATAAATGCCGGACAGAGACACGTGTCAAGCGTTCATTGGCCGAGGGGTCACCTCAACTGGTTGGCGCTGGCAACCGCATGTGGCCGCATTTAATGCGGCTGTTGGATGGGACATTGTACAGGGTACGGTGATCTGTACGCATGTGGAGCGGATATTGTGTCGGAAGAGGCGCCCTCGGCTGTAGAGGACTAGACGAGGGCTCTGAGTACCGGGGACCCCCTTGGTGTCGAGGGCACCAGTTGCCGAGGGCTACTGATTTTCGCCGTTTTCCCCAGTAACTTTGTTTTCCTGTCTTGGCCCTCTTGTGAGAGTTAGAGCCTTCGGCCAGGGGGGCGAAGGCACCCCTGGTGCGCATTGTGGGTTGCTTGGTACTTTGGACGCTGTGATTTGAGCCTGTTGTGCTTTCTGGGCCTGTTGGGCCTTTATTGGAGTAGTAGGAGTATGTGGGCCGGGGGTTCCCGGGCCATGTACTCCATCAAAACCATTGAATCAATTGAGTCAACTTAATTGTAAAAAACTTATATTTGAAGTATACTCTGTGTTTCTTAATGAAATTAAGAACAAATATATAAAACGTATACTTCCTTCGCCATTAGGCTTCACCAATTATTCTTTGTTGTTCGCGTGATTTTTTATTTCACTTTTCCTTTAAGTAATTAATTTTTTATTCTGTTTATTTCTTTATCCCTAAGACACTTCTTAGGCAACTTTTACCTTCCTTATTTCACACCTCATACAAACACAATAATGCCTAATGGACAAGAGGAGGTGACACGATTATTAAGAAAAGTTGGTTTATGCAGTTGATATTGAATTGATAAAGTAAAAATAAAGTAAAAATTATTGAGAGACAAATTTTTTCAAATTTAATATAGAACAATTTTAGTGAGATTTTTCGAAAAGAACGATGAGACAATTTAGCAATACTAAGAGAGTAGTTCTTTTCAATAATTTTAATCAATTCATTCTCCAAAGTGATCGTAACTTTATTTATTTTTATTATTACAGAATTAATGCTTGAAATTTAGATATGGCATATCCAATGAGATGGAGTTAATATAAAAGTACAATATTTAAATTATTAAACCAATTCCGTGAGTCTTTTTATATAATGGTCTTTTGATTTAATTAAACCCTAAAAGTTTTATCCAACTGATTAAAGGAGTGTTTGTGATTGCTTCAACTTCAAAAAAGTGATTTTTAAAATGATTTAGGGAAAGTACATAATAGTAAAAGTTGGTAGTGTTTGAAATAAAGTGATTCTGAAAAAGTAAAAATTAGTAGTGTTTAATAAACTAATTGCTTTTTGTGTAATATAAAAAGTGAAAAGCACTTTAAAGCTCTTTTCCACTTGTTTTTTACTTTTAGCTTTTAAGTGCTTAATTTAAGTAGAAGCTGTTATTTGAAAACACTCTTTTCAGCTTTTTTTATGCCAAAAGCTAAAAACACTTTTTTTAAGTTTTATCAAGCACTCCCTAATTCTAACTCTATGATCAAGCAATTTATTTGTCTTTTATTTAAGAAAAATTTCTTTTGTACACGTTCATATACACATCAGTACACCTCCGTGTCTGTGAGAATTTTTTTTGTCTGTGAATCTCAATCGACAGATAAAAACTGACTTATTTTATTTGTAGAATTTTCTACCTACAAAACAAGCCGATTTTGTCTGTGAACTAGGATTCACAGACAAGAAATATCTCTCACAATCACAAGGAGGTGTACCCGTGCGTATAAGGGGGTGTTTGGATTTGATTCTTAAAACTGCTTCTGCTCCTTCAGGGAGCAGAAGCAGAAGTTGGAGTGTTTGGGTAAAAGTGCAGAAGTGATTCTGGTGCTCTAATTTACTCCTAGAATCAGTTTTTTTAGAAGCTGGGGGTGACCAGCTTCTGAAAACT